GTCGAAGTAGCCGGTATTTTGGGCTTTGGTGATCGATGTCGGTTGCGTTCAAGCGAATGCTCATGTCACCGGTGCGTTGTGATGATGTTACAAGGGTGGTCGTTAGGAGCCAGAGCTCGGTCACCTGTCTCAGTAGCTGGCCTGGCGTGATGTGATTACCACGACTTCTGGTCTTGTCCGACTGCGCGCTCGCTGTGCGATACTGCTTATCGTACAGCTTGTGAGCTTCCAGGAGCGTTCGCCGTAAGAAGTCGTTCGTCTCGGTCGATATGCAATCTCTTGCTCTGATATCATCAGTCAAGTGCTGTGAGACCTTCTCTAAGATGTCGTCGGACTCGTCAAGAAGAATGACATCGTCGACGTGCGAGCTCCCCTCCTTTGATGCCGCATGCTCGGGTTTATGCGTGATATTGCGAAGAATCAGACCCGATCCGTCGCTGCTGCTCTGGAAGCTGATCTCGACGTTACCCGATTGCGGTGATGCTATGGTGCCAATCAGCAGGGCTGCAATGTCTGACTTCGTCCGCAGACCATGAAAGGACGTCGAGTACAAGGTAAATTCATCCGCCAGCTTCGTCCGCACACAGGGCCATTTCCATAGCCGCGCGGAGTCAACATGAGCGCACTTATCGCAAGGTGTGCCGTCCGAGCACGGCTTCTTAAGCATTCGGCAGCGTAGACATGCACCGCGTTTACGGGTTTCTTGTACTTGCCTCCTCCGATCTTCATTGAAACGCGCGCGACCCCCTTTGGGCACTGAGGTAAGTCTCACTAGAGGCGGCACAACGAGCGACCCTTGCTGTGATTCTAGTGCCGATGTCTGCCCTTCAGACGACAATGTCCGTAGCTGCACTAAATTTACAGGGCGGGCAGGAGGTTCTACCGAAGTTGTAATTGCTTTCAGCTGAGGGTCGATGGCGCCGTTTGCAAGGACTCGTGCGTTGCTCTGCTGCAATCGATGGTCTGCTTCTTGAGCTGCTCGCACTAATGGCTGGACATGAGGCTGATCGTACCGTTGTTGATGCCTTGACGTGCTCTGCGGAGTTGGGAAGCGCGACACAATCCCTCCAAATGCAGGCTGCATGCTACTGCTGTGCTCATCAGGCGCTTGATGGATCGCATTCATCAACAGCTGTTCAACGATCTGTCGCTCTGACTCCTGAGCCATAGCAGATTCGTGGGTGCCGTAGGCTAGAGTTTGTCGTTGCTGGGTGTAGTCAAGATGCCGCCGCGAAGCTTCAGCCAACGTGTCTAACGCGGATTGCTGGTTGTAATCTTGTGCGGACATAGTGAAGCTAGCATCTCGATCAATATGCGTTGCAGGCGCAGGGTCATTCGTAGGCGCTCCGTTCGCCGACATATCGAATTGAAATTGATGAGAATCGTGCACGTCCCAGCCCTGTGAATCGAACACGAGTTCGCCCGCATGATGGTCTGCAGCGGAGACGTTAGCACCGCCCTTTGAGGCTACTTTCCGAGGACGCTGGGCATGATCATACGCCGCCTCACGCTCCTGTTGGGTGAGCTGAGGACAGCGCTTGAGCAGGTGCGTGAGCATGCCATCGATGCGGCCCTTTGGGAACTACGGCGTGGTATCAGTACAGTGCACATGAAATTAAGCGTCAAATCACAGGACTACCAGCTCGCCGCATCTGATGCACTGCTGTTCATATCGATTGCTATTGTCCTCGAGCTTTTTGCCACGACGGAAGTAGTCAGCAATGAGTGCATTCTGTTTGCGCCCCATTGCTGCCGTCGGACTTGAGCACTCGTCGGACGCGGCTATCTGTGGAGATTGGTGTGAAGGAGAAGTGAGATCGATCGAGATTCATTGGAAGTGTAGGTAATTCTGCCAGTGGAGGCGGTGAAAGTCGCGTGAAGTCCAGGCGACATGCCAAGAGATAGCTGACTAAGCTTGAGTTGACCCCCATCACTGCACTCGCGAGTCTCGAGCAATGATCACCAAGGTCCTGACGCACCGGGCAGGGCGGCCCTCCGAGACTGCGAGTAGATGCTACGCATGATGTCTTTCGCCACACCAGAGTCGAATTCGCCGGCACTGCAGCCGACACCGCCGTACTACACCTCCACTCCACCCGTGCCTCCGCCAAAGCCTTCCACTTCCTCCACACCGATAAATCGAGGACCTCCACCCCCTCCATTACCGGTGGGTCACGTTCATCATGAGGTGTCTGAGCTCGATGGCAATCCCAGTGCCCAGTCCCACGAGCATTATTTCCCACAAGGACAAGCACAGATCCAGATACCTGCCATTCAACATGACTGGCTACCAGAGTCACTCAAGGACAAAAGCACAGCAGACCTGCATCACTTGCTGGAGAGCAGGGATTTGCAAGGAGCCCTTTTGAACGATGCAAGCACCACGCACCCAGCCCTTCCAGCATCGCAAGCTGCACTCCAGCCGCTAGTAGAGTCAAATGTTAGCCTAGCTGAGTCGCTGTTGTCCCTTGAGGCGCGCTTGACACAGCAACGAGAACAGACGCAGTCAAGACTTCTGGCTTTGCGAGCATTGGAGCAACAGCATCGTGCGAAGATTGCCGAGACCGAGGACGCCCTGCGGGCTTTCAGTCCCATGGCTTTGTACCAGCGTCTCAATGCGAGTGCTCAGGAACAGCATCAACTGGTTCAGGGCATAGAAGAGAGCTGGCTTGATGAGTCTGGAGTTGCTAGTGATCGTGAGATTGGCGACTTTGTCAGAAGAGTCAAGGACGGTAAGAAGCTTGCGTTCCTGCGCACCGAGAGGAAACGTAGGTGGGATGAAGGTAGGGTCGGCGGCTGGAGGTGAGAAGTGCGGCATTGAGTTCCGACGATCTGAAGTGAGCACCCCATACCAAGTCATCTCACCGGCGAGCTTTGACAAGCTACGTCGCAGCTTGCGCGACCTAGTGTGGACATGTGCGATCTGGCGCATACAAGATTCGTAGGTCGGACGAGGCGAGCTGGGCCATCATCGCGGATCTGACCTCCCGATGTTATCGTGCTAGCTGTCATCTCCCGGCAAAGTTTGTCGATCTTCCAGACTCGCCCGGATGAACGGCGAGGGATCGCCATGGCCTGGGAAGCTTGCGAGGCTAAGACACACGAGCCAGCAAGGTGAGTCGATGCTCGGCATCGCCCGCTTGGCTCTGTGTGGAGATGCGATTGTCCCCGGGTTCGGGCGATCCATCATGGTAAGTCATGCCACACAGCATTTGGAATCTCTACATGCTTCGGCGCATCAGGCATTTAGAAATGTGCTGGGGTACAAGACTCTCGGTGTCAAGATGATTGCATGGGCTGCATGTGGGCCGAGGAGATGGGTATCGAAGTGGCCGTAGCCACGCAAGCGGGTTGCATGTAGCAGCAGTAGTATGATCAGACGATGACTTGTGGTACACATGTATGATGATTGATGGAAATCGCTTGAAGCATTAGCTGGTTGAACCGATTTGAATCCTCACTGGTATTGGGTCTGTGTGATTTCGGCGTTCGTCTGTTCGAACGAGATAGTGTGATCTATCGGCTTCACATAGAATGTAGACAATCGCGCCTGCGAAGTACGGTTCTTAGGTGAAGAAAGTGTGCCCTCCCGTTCCCGAACTTCGACAAAGCCCAAGTCGCGACCCTTGCGCGTCTCGAAACGCGATAAACTTCACACACAACCTACTGGCAGTGATATACAGGCATCCGGCGAGCTCACAACGTCAAGAGCAACAATTGTCATCACCAGTAGAGCCCAGCGATCGACCACTGGACGGACGACTCCGTCGACTATGCCTCCACGGAAAAGTACTGGCTCAAACCCACCGGAGGATGTCACAGAGGCCAGTGTTACCACGCCTGCACAGAAGCCAAAAGACAAAGATGGGCTAGGTGTCGAGGTATGCATCTGATTCGCCTGCTTTGAAATCTATTCTGATGTCCAACCACAGGACCTTACATTACCGAAGTCGATGATTGCACGCTTAGCCAAGGGAGTCTTACCACCGAACACCCAAATACAGAAGGATGCGCTCTTGGCTTTACATAAGAGCGCGACGGTGTTCGTGAGCTATATTGCTTCAAAGTGAGTTTTGTTCCTGGTCCACGCGATGTAGAAACCTCTACCATCCGCCCGAATGTATCCCCACCCCTGTCCTAGGAAGCTGCCCATAAAGGAGCTGTTCCCACGTGAATACACGATCAGGATGCTAACGATGCGTCCAGCGCCAACGATCTCGCTCACATGGGCGGCAAGAAGACCATCTCACCCCAGGACGTACTTGCAGCTCTCAAGGACGCAGAGCTGGAGGATGTGATGAAAGGCTTGGACGATCACCTCAAGAGTACGTCGGAAGCAGCCACTCCGATGCATTCTATGTGTCTCGAGCTCAAGCGAAGGAATGCTTGCTAATTTCTGCGCAGAGTACAACGACATCCAATGCGAGAAGCGGAACACCTACCGCCATCGCGTGAAAGCAGAGAAGACTGGTGGTCCTGGCGAAGCAACTACGTCTGAGAATGGTGCAGCCGCGACTCCAACAGCTGAGGGTGCGCAAGCTGTGATTGCGGCAGATGGCGGTAGCGCGACGAACGGTATCAATTTAGACGACGACACCGAGCCGCCCAGCAAGAAGCTGAAGGGCGAAGGTGGCGAGGTGGTCGTCACACCAGGCGAGCAGATAGAGGACTACGAGATTGAGGATGGCGAGCCGGATGTCGATGAGGACGGTGACGAGGATGGCGATGACGTTGACGATGTTGAGCAGGACGGAGAGGACGACGTGGAGGATGAAGTGATGGGTGATGGCGAGAGTCAGGAGGACGAGGATGCAGTGGGCGCGCATGGTCCGGACGAGGCGCTTGACGACGGTGAGGATAGCGACTAGATCTGATAGTATGCGACACCGCTTCCGATTAGCTTTAAGGAGAAGTGATCTCTCGCTCACACTGGTGCTTCGAGCTCTGGTTTTCGTATAAGAGTCATAAATACTTGTGACGTCTCGCACGCTGCCAAGCCCTGCTGGCGCAATGGTAGCGCGCCAGACTTCTAATCTGGAGGTTGCATGTTCGAGTCCTGCGTGGTAAGAACCCACCACCTCCACTACGCCTACCTTGCGTCGCTAACATCTCATGTAGGGGTGTTGCAATCAGCAAACATTTTGCGGTTTTGCTATGCGCAGCCGGCTTCTACATGCTCCAACGTTGTTATTCCGGCGTCCCGAACAGGCAGCTGTAGCTCTCCCATTATCTCGCTCCCTAGCGCATTCTCACACCTCGCATCACCCACGCGAAGGATGGACTTCAGCTGCATCTACATGCACGCACGACTCATACTTGATGTAGCTGTCGACAACACGGTAGGTTAAGGTAGACTCCATCATCTGTCTTCTCCCTCTAGTCCCGCCTCTGCCAAAACACTCCACAGTTCTTCGAGTAGCAAGATGGGCTTCACAATCCACACCGCCACCCCAGCGGACACCACAGCCATGGTCGCCGTCTTCGCCTCCGACCAAAATGAGCCCTTCACGCGTGTGCATCTGGGTACCTTGAGCCAAGCAGCCTTCAAAGCCCGCATGGAATCGCGCTTCGGCGAAGCAATTGCGAAGCAAGACGGTCAAGTGTACCTCTACGTGCGAGACGATGACAGTGGCGAGATAGTCAGCTATGCGAACTGGCAATTGCCTGCACCGGAAGGGAAGGTGGTAGAGGAGAAGAGTGAGGAAGTAAGCCTCCAAATTGTGACAGTTCACCATGAGGGTAAAGGCGACTGATCAGCGCGCAGGAAGAGGCGAAGGAATTAGCAGACTGGGCGGCTGCTATGCCAAAGGAGATGAATGCCCCGGCTATGATCGCTACGCGGAAGGGGATGAGGAAGCTTCGGAAGAGTAGTGAGAATGGCCAACGGAACTACTGTGAGTCCTCTGGATTTGCCTTCATGGCTTAGTAGTAGAGTGTGCTACGCTCGCTGGGTACTGACTCCGCTGCAGTTCTCATGAATCTCGGCACGCATACTTCGTATCGCCGCAAAGGCGCAGCTACGGCGTTAGTGCAGTGGGGTGTGGAGCGTGCTGATAAGGAGGGCGTCATCGCTTGCCTGAACACCGGCGAGCATAATTGTGCTAGGAAGATGTATGAGAAGTTTGGTTTTGAGAAGGTAGATCAGCATGTGTTCGAGTTGACGCAATTTGGAGGTGAAGGTGAGCATATTGCTATCGGAATGAGGAGGCAGCCGAAGCCAGTCTCTGTGTGAAATAGATGTCTTCATGGAATACTGTACTTCTCGTTCCCAGCTTTCATGCAAAGAGTATCTTGAGCCTAGGTCGTTGATCGCGTGAGTCGTTTCCAGGGTATCGTTTCCAGGGCGACATTACCACCGCCCGCCCTTCATCGTAAAGACACCGCCTCCAAAGTCGCCTCTGTTCCACCGCGCAATATCTTGCCCACACATTTCCCACAACTTCGCATTGAGACTGTCCCGCCTCTGCTGTTCGTGCCTTCGCTTCTCTGCTGATGAAGGCGATCGTGGCTTGAACACCCCACCGCCCACGTTGCCAGGTGTAGCAAATCCGAACAGGTCTCTAGACTTTGGCAGCTGCTTGCGCGGGCTTTGGAAGTCAAGTATACCCTTGCCGCGCTGCTTCCGGGGCGAGACTGTAGCCGGATCAACGTCGTGGTACGGCGAATCGGCAGCGAGAGGGTGTGAGAAGATGTTCTGAGGCGTGATGTTCCGATGTCGCTCTTGTGCGTCGCGGCTGCTTTCGGGGCGTTGCTGATCTAGTCGTGCGCTGTCGGGTAGTGGTGCAAAGAGAGGTGCACGCCACTTCGCCGGACTTTTGCGAGGGCTCTGACGTGGGCTCTTGACTGGACTGGGTGGATACTCGGTGTCCATCTCGTCGTCTTCGTCGCTGCTTGACAGGACTGGAGACGCTAGTACTGGTATGGCGTCGTCGATGCGCAGCTCACCCAGCGGGACGCCCTCGCCACGCGGTCTTCGTGGAGTAGCAGCTCGCGGCGTCTGTACCGGTGGCGGGACAGGTGAACGCATTTCATCGTTCTCCTGGTCAGATTCTGTGGTAATGTCTTCCTCCGCTGGTTTGGCATAGTCGCTCTCGCTTGCCGTATTATCCCGTGTATTGAAGACATCGTCCTGGCTCTCTTGCGCGACGAAAAGGCGATTGCCTGGCGCGTGCCGCCGTCGCTGATGCGCACCGCTGGGCGTACCCTCTGAGCTCCGACTCGCAGCAGCAGCTCGTACTCTGGCAAGGGTCCGCCTTCGCCTCACGGGGGCTTGTGGACGCGATGCCGCATCCTCTAGAACCTCGACAGTCTCCTCGGTGGCTGGACTTACACCCACAGCACCCCGCTCCTGCCCTCTCTCTTGCGCCTCCTTCACAGCATTCACAAGTGACCTCGGTATACTCGCATGGATTCCCGTCATCGACTTCGCCCTCCTCGCAAACACCTCATACCCCTCCTGTATCAGCGCCCCAGCCTCCGCATTCAGCGCACTGTCCGGATTCGGTTGTATCAACAGACACGATATCGTCACCAAGACATCCCTCAGCGTCAACTTGACATCCCAGTCTCGCTTCAGTGTCTCCACGCATACTCCGCCAGTCTGAGGGTCGACATTCGGGTGGAATATGGTAGTGCGAAAATGTGCTGTGGGCGGCTGTGAGGGGTATGTGGGCGGGATCGTTAAGTGAAGCTTGTAGACGCCCGCGCTGAATGGTGTATGTTGGGGACCAGCAAGGTGGACGTTGAGTTGTGTGAGGTCGTCTGAGTAGTCGGCGGAGGGGGCGAAGAAGTAGTTAGGCGGGAGGGGTTGGCTGTGGAGTGCGGCGTGGTCGGCGGCGAGGCGGCGGAGAGATTTCGAGTTCTATTGTGGGGTCAGCAGGTGTTTGTTGGATATGCTGGACTGTGAGCTAACCATGCTATCTGCTGCTTCCAGAATGCTGTCAACACATGCTACTACATAGGTCTGCTCAAGCCCGGGTGTAGTGTACTGTTGCTCCTGAGGACTATTTCCGTTGCGTAGGCGTGTCGCGGTTATTCACTTTCATTACGCGATTTAGGGAAGTCACGAACGTCACGCGAGAAGTCTTGGCAAGAGTCGAGGTGTACGTACCTTAGCTTCGTAGCATGTAAGTATGGTCAGACGTGTTAATCGTTGCTCTCGATCACTCCCATGTCTATCATTCTGCTTGCATTACACATATCGCTCCTCATTCGCAGGGTCCTTCTCCCTTCGGCACCGGGCCCGTGGTCGCGAAATTCGTCTCATCCCACCCCTTCGGTGCAGCATTCTCTCCACCTAGGCCTCCCGCGTTCGCCCTGTACCCTCCCTCTGCCTGCGACAAATCAAGACGCCGCTGCGTCTCTGTGGCCACGGCGGCTGCCGTCTCCGCGTTCCACCTCTCGTGCTCAATGAAGTGCTCATATAGGATATACAGAAAGTAGACGTCGCCAACTGCATATTTAAGCATGAAGTCTGGTAGAGGGCGGACCGCGAAAGAGTCCACAGAGTCCGATGTGTCGGCTAGCTCGGCAGGCGTGCAGGTTGCGGCGGCTAAAATTTCTGGGTGAGGACCGCGCTCCGTGGTATTATTTGCTGGGTCGAATGAAGCCTTGTTGGCTGCGTCGCTGATGTGCGGGCTATCTGGCTGCCCAGAGGAGTCACTATCCAAGGCAGGGCTGTCATTAATATCCTTGCTTGACGTATCTTCTTTGTGACCGCAACTGGGACAGCCGTTAACTCGCATCATCACCCTCGCAGTCGCCGCCTTGGCCGCCGCCTTGGCCAGCTTGTGCTCAGCCTCCTGCTCAGGCGTCATCTTTTTCGACTCAGCCTGAGCAGCCTTCGAATCTCCGCCGAATAGCTTATATGCCGCGTCAGCCTCAGCAAGACGCTCACCCATCGCTCGCCCACCCCAGTACTTGGTGCAGCGCCAGCGAGCAATGGTCGACTCGGAAAGTGTATTGCCGAGACGCAATGGCAGCGCCATTGATAGTGACTTCACGGTACCGCGCTCTTTCCTCGTACAGCAGCGTGTGATAACGTCCATGAGCTGAACGTCTATAACTCCAGCAAGCAAGATGTTGTAAAGGGCCTTGAGCGCTTCGCTGTCGCTGCAGCAGTCCCAGAGGAGCTTCTTCTGTGAAGCATCCTCAATGATGGTGCGCATCGAGACTTCAGAATCATCGACAATCACAGTGTTGTCGAAGGCTGCGCGGCCGAGGGTCGCCACATCGAGCAAGAAGATATGGTCTATCGAGCGGACGTGGATCTGCATGAGTGAGATCGTGCCATTGTGGCCGAGGTTTAGGCCCTCAAGGTCGAAGGTCAAATTTGGGTCGACACCAGCGCATGGAGCAGCCGCATGAATGACCAGCACCGTCTCCTGCACCTTCTCGATGGTGTCTACCATCGTGGATTCTGGCACGGGCACATCGACCAGATGCACGCCCCTCGCCAATAGGTCCAGAACTTTTGGCGAGCGTCGCTCCCACGTCTCAATCTTACCTGCAATTTTCGCTAAGACGCGCGCGGTATTCTCCATCTTCAACGCAGTATAGAGCTTCGGGTTGATGATCGTGTGCACGTCCTGAGCAATAGACTCCGCGATCGCATTGAGCTGCTCCGCTCTGCGGAGAACGCTGTCGTACAGGTCACGAGTAGCATCATTCACATAATCCGTGGCTTCCTCGTCGGGTCTCCTACGATCCTCGGCCCTGCAGGCTTGAAGGGAGGCGAACATCGTGGCGAGAACGTCCTCACTCTCGGCTTTGTGGGCGAGAGATGTAGTAATAGTGTCGACCCTCTCAGCGCGAGTAAGAGCGTCGCTCGGATGATTCTGCGCTTTGGACCTGGTGGCGTGCGCATCGAGATGAGGTCGCACGGCAGCGTAAAGATCTGAGTCCATCTCCACCGAGTGCTGGAGGAGTGAAGACAGGGTGACGTCGGCACCCTCCCAGTCCAGCGGCATGTCCAGTATGAGCGGCATGTCTGTGTTCGTAGGGTAATGCCGTGTTCATATATATCGGTGTGCAAAGGGATAGCAGTACAGCTCTCCTGAGCGGTGGTCA